TTGAACATAATGAAATCCTTCGCAGAACAAATACCCCAGACATCATCCATCATGTTGTTCATCCTCTTAATTTTGAAGATAAATTCAGCAATCCAAAGTACCAAGGAAAAGAAACCACACCAAATGTGTGGAGATGCAGATGATCCAAAAGTTAAATTGTAATCGACTCGTGTTTTCTCATTGATTCTCATGATTTGGCAAAGCTGATATTGCAGGTGACAAGGCATGATCCTAAAGGCTGTCTCCACATCTGATTTCCATAGCATAAGATCTTCCTGTTCTAAGTTCATATCAATTATATAAGGAACAAAGTTTTTCAGCGAATCATAGGTTACCGCTATGTTGTCTTTGTCGATTAAATCGTTATGAGAAGGGTTTCCAACACTCATATTCGAACAAACCCACATTTTTGCCGAATCTTTCTTTGACACCATTAGCAGAGGAATAACTTTCATGCCGGGAAGAAGAGTCGAAAATTCTTGCGAGTACCGTCCTTTGTCGATTTCTTCTTGGCATTGAACTTCCAAGATATCCTTAAATGTGTCACACGAGGCGTGATTTGGACCATTGACAACTTCTGCGGAAGGGAGAGAAGAACTAGGCCAGAACCCAAAACGTAGACCCTTGATCACGGAATTGACGAAAGGCCTGTTTGGGTGATCAATTAGTAACGTCTCCAGTTTCTCAACTTCAATAGGAGTGTTGATTTTAAATAAAAAGTGGTATTGCTGAAGAGAATAAGCAGCAACCTGGTTGATTTTTAAAGATGGTGCGTCTGGAAACGGTCTCACGGATAAGCTTGATTTGATTGATGGAGAACATCCCACGTCGTTAATGCCGTCCCAGATATAACCGCGAAGAAACTTGTGGGAAGAATTTTCGTCTATAGTCAATTCCTCTTTCTTCTTCGATGATCTAAAGAAGGCACTGCAGAGTCAGATAAACTTATTACAAATTAACAACAATCAAGAGAAATACCAACCCGAAGATAGATTTTTCATCTCCTTCAGGTATGCTTAACTCCAGGGTGCTCCTTCCTACATCCTTTGACATTCTGAAATGTAAGCGCAATAGTTAGTAATCCAACTATTTCCAAACCTCTTCTTCTTTTTAGAAATGCATGTGAAACCGAAAAAGTCAAAAAGAAATAACCAACACATCTATGCTGTCTTTGGCATTTATCGCCAAGGGCACAGTGACCAAGATTATAAGCAAAACAGTATGTTTCTGCTTCGTTCTTAAAACCTCTGGTATCTTCCACGCCAAACCCACTCTTATATTTATAAGTATGATCGTAAAGCAACGGAGAGGTCTGATTTCTTGGATGACTTCGGCTACGTTGATTCCAACTTTGGCGACTAGGACCTTGATATGGTCTAGCGCTTGTCGAAGCTTCTGGTTGACGAAGTTGAGGTTTGTATGCATCCGCCATGTACTTTGATGCCAAAGTCGAAAGGGACTTCACAGCCCCCAACTACTGGTCACTGGCAGGCCAGTACATCCGATGTCTCCAAAATGTTTTCAACAAAACTTCAATTTGTTTTCAGCATAACATCCATCTGCTATCAAGATGTTTTGGGTCAGTCACCAGCAAAATATGTCATACCACCAAAATTGAGATGATGTCATACAGCATCATAAACCTGTACAAACCTGCTCCTGTATTTCCCCACCAAGAATATATAGTTTATTAACCTTTGTGACATAAATTGACTGAGTTATTGAGGTTTGAAAAAAAAATCACGGACAAAAAATACTATTTTTGTACTGTACCTAAGAATTGATTCTGGAATATCTTCCAGCTTCGTCAATATACATACACAAAAAAATTGATATTCCTTTTGAAAACATGTTTCTCCACATTTTTGTCCCCTAAAGCCTTCCCGTATGGGCAGTATTTCTACATGTAATTCCTGAATGTGTCTGCAAGTTTGATTTTCTGAAGTTCTTTGCCCCGATAAAAATTTTGAGGGAACATATGCCAAAATCATTCTGAATTTGATGGATATACATGTAGATGGTTTTTGACAAAAACGTGTGTCATAAACTTTGTCGTTTCTGCCTTG